TGTGTTAACATCATCCTTGTGTCAGAGTTTTTGTTGTCTAAAAGCTCTATTGAATGTATGGAGGTACTGTAACGCATTTGTCTCTGTGTAAAGACTCATTTAATATTATTAATGAGCTTGAATAGAATTTGTATCTGTTAAAAAATGGTTATACATAATAACAATGAAGAAAGAGGCTGTATAAAAAAAATATACAATACTTTAGATTCAGTGTCTTGCTTAAAGGTACTGTTTTGGTGCCTATATAGTATATATCCAGATTCAGCCCGCAGCTTTTGTGTTTAACAGAATGGATACATCATTAAATTTTTAACTTTTAAAGATGTTTTTAAGTCAAAGTAATCTGATGATCCATATACTTAGAATCACTTTATCACACAGCGCTGTAGTGTGGATGGCTTAAAAACAACCTGAAAACATAGCCTGAAGCTTTTGTGATATTCTAAATCTTTTAAAGGGTCATTTGTTATTGAGATGGCAAAGATGAATTTTTAGCCCCCATTCTCCAGTGAGTTTCACAAGATCCTTCTGAAATCATTCTAATATGCTGAATAATAAAACATTATTATCAACGTTGAAAACAGTTGTGCTGCTTAATATTTTTGTGGAAACCGAGATACATTTTGTCAGGATTATTTGATGAATAGAGAGTTCAAAACAACAACATTTATTTAAAATAGAAACATTTTGTAACATTATGATTGATTGTCTTTATTGTCACTTTTGATCAATTTAATACATCCTTGCTGAATAAAAGTAGTATTCATTTCTTTAAAAAAGAAAACTGTACATGATATAGATTTTTATGGGGACTAAGTATGTCTTTTATTTTGTCTTTTAAAGTTTTAATTAAAAAAGCATCTTAATGCTCAAAGACACACACACACACAATTACTCTATGATCTTTTTTCAGTAATTATTCTGACGGGTGTGGTTTAAAATGGTTTAACCTGAAATTAGGTCATATTGAAAGTCACCTATACGCATTACTCCATCCACGGTTGATCTAGACAAAGATATTATGGTTACGTTTTAGTACACTGTAATTTTTTATACTGCTGTTTACTTAAAACAATTATGGTAACAATATTACACAATATTTTTGAGTAGTTAAGGCTTGATTTCTTTCATGGAATCTACCTGAAGAAATCATGTAAAATCCCCTAAATAAAAATGATTACATTTTTATTAAATAATTACTAAATAAAAATGTATTTAGTCTATGACATAATGAATGTAATATTTTTAGTGTATTTTTTACTCTCAAAATTGTGTGAATTAAAGTAAAATATAAACAGGTCATCTCCATTCACTTGGAGTTATATTATTAAAAGACTGCTGCTAGCACAGCAACAAACTTGTTACTGCACTATCATTAGCAAAGTTATTGCTCAATGAACAAAGCATCATGCTTCAGAGTATTAATACATGCAGTTATTCACAACCTAACCATAAGCCCCACTCTTCTGCACAATGGTTACCATCAAAATTTTAACATAATAGAAACTTTCAAATGTCAAACATAACTGAACATTACACATGCTGGGAACTAACAATGGTGTCTAAATAAAACCGCATAATTGAGCTAATTCTCTTAAAATAAATAGGTAGCCTTTTTTCCTTGATTTTTATCAGTTCCTCAATTCAAGCCTCAAAACTGTGTATGTTTCCTTAAACAAATTAGGAAAATGTATCTCTTGGTTTTATTAGTGAAATGTTCTCAATATTTTCAATAAAACACTAAACCACAATTTTCTTAATAAAATGTACACAATATTTTTAATTATCACCTTAATTTTTCGGTTTTAATTTTTAGACTCATGATTAATTTTTTTTACAGTGGAGGCCTACTGGTTATATTATAAAAATACATGACAAAATCTTTGTATAGTTAGTTACAAAGCACAGTAAAATTCAACAAATATTTTTTCTATATCTGTTTTTATTTTATTTGCCCTAAATTTCATTTAGAAGCTGGATTATTGCAAAACATATTGCATATTTAAAACATTACTACTATTCCCAATGGCAAAAAGTGTCCCAAATTATCAACCTGAATTCACCCTATAAGTAATAACAGTTAAGCTGTATCATAGTTGGCAGAAAACATAAGTGTATCAAATGACCACACAAGTTGGACTGTTTACACTGGTTTAATAGACTGACTCCAGATTCCTTTTTTTTACTCCTTTATTATTTTGGTCTGTGATTTTTAAACCCTCCCTTTGCCAAAGGCTTTCCATATCTTTTGTTATGTAGAACATGTCTGCTTTCCTCAATGATTTTTATACAATGAATTTAATAACAGGTGTACAGATTCAGATGATGTAAGACCAACTACTCCTCTGGTTGTGTCTTCTACTGTGGCATGAAGAAACAGTTCAGTGCATGGGAAAAGGGGAATGTGTCTGGGATTAGAATCACACTAAATAACTGTGGACCAACAGTGTCTGAGCAGGTCTGGACATGCGGATTCCACCTATCGGTGGCATTTCCTTACCACTCATTCTTCCAAGCTTGCTTAGTTGCTTTGTTTTTTTGCTAGATCTTTCTTAGTAAATGTTCCTCCGTGCACTTTGCTATCTGGGTTTTCTGTCTGCATTGGTTCTAAATGTTTCCTTTCCAACAGGTAAAGGCGCAGTGGATGATATAAGACTGCTTGTAAAAGCTAAACCCCAGCACTTCAGCAGTCGTCTTTTAAGATAAGGTAAGATTTGATCCCTTGAGGCAAAACGAGCTGTTAAAGCAGGATGACAGGCGTAACATAGACCTTAATACTGTAGCAAATTATAACAGTCTGTGACGGGAACCTTTATACATATGTGGGTTTTATTAGTCTCAAAAAAAAAAAAAAAATCCAGGAAGTTTCTCCTTCCTTTTCAGCAAAGAAATGCCGCACATAACGTCACGCATAACGTCACACATCCTGACAAATTGTGGAATCATGCAATCCTCTCTTCCATTCTGTTTTCATCCTACTCAGCAATGCCAGATTAAAATGGCCTCAAAATGTAACTTTAATCAGTCACGTCATATTATTTGATTTTATGGCCATTATTGAGCCGTTTGCCTGCTTGGCTTCAACTATTAGTGCATGCAGTGTTTCAAAGTCGATCCCTTATGAACTCCTAACCATAACATGAAAAGCCAAAATCCACGTCATTGTCATCTGATGTATGCATATATGAACATTACACATCTGAAGTAAGTGCAGCAGAGTGTGTGTGTGTGAGTGAGAGAGAGAGAGAGAGAATCAAAGGCCTCTATTGTTGGAATGAGAAGCAGATGTTGGGTGGAATTCTCCTGACTGCTGCACATTTTCCTTTTCTCTCTGTCTCTCTCTCATGCAAAGTCTTCTCGCTACTCCATTTTGCATTTTGCCTTTTTTTTTTGTTTTAAATATACTTACATTTTTTCTTTTATTATTACAATAGAAAAAGCTTTAATAAAGTCCAGCCAAGAGAGCTGAGAAAATGTCATAGCAGTGTGTATGCAGTTCCACAAACTACAAAGAATATTTGAATATCAATTAGTGGGGCAATAATGACAGCATACTTGAGTAATAACAAAACGTTATTAAAGAAAATAATTTAAATCCACGTTTGAAGTAATATTTGAAGTTATTTATTCTGCTGTAAAACTAAAACCTGGACTAAACTGACTTCCATTAAGTTGATTTTTTATTTTTTTTTATTTTCTATTTTATAGATAGAGTGAGGTTTAAGGCAATCCATTCTTAATACGTTAAGCTTACATTCAAACATATGTCAACTTGATCATATTAAGTATATTTCTGCAAATGTTAGTTTAAGGAAATATGTTTGAAAATAACATGTAATACTCCTTTAAATTTGATAGGGCACATTTGTAGTAATTTGAGATGTGCTCATATCACAGATACTGACAGAGACAGAGATAGTGAGATGGCAGTCTTTTAGTGTTTCATGTAGGCAGATGTTATGTCCCAATATCTAAAATCACTGAGAAAGTTGTTGAATCCTAACATGAGTTAAAGTTCGTGACATCAGGTGAGAACTTAAAACGGAAACCTAGTCTGTAGAAACTAGTCTGTTGAAAAAAGTAACTTGGCCTGAAGATGAATAACAATATTTAGGCTAAATTAATATTGTATTTGTGTTTGTCAAGTCACCTTTATTTGATAGCGCTTCATACAGATTGTTTCAAAGAAGCTTTTACTGTGATCAGACAAATAATGATTCAATAATGCAAACATGGTTCAATTCGGCTGTAATGCAGCTCTAAAAAGAAAAAAGTGTCATTGTTTAGTGTTTTTTCAGTTACATTGTAAAGATCATCAATTATTAAATTAGCTCAATTCTGCTATAAAGCAGCTCTGCAGAAAACAGTGATGTCATCATCCAGCTCAGTTCTTGTCAAATAGTGTCAGTGCAGTCAGATCAATAATATTGAATATCGTTTGCCATGTCATGCAGAATGTTTTAATATTGTTATGGACGGTTTAATCTACAAAAAGAGAAAATTAAATAATTTCAACACTTATCAATATTACATGTCATGTCTTATTTGATAAGCAGCCATGTAATAAGAGGGATCTCTATTTGTATAGTTATCGTGGACAGTAACTTTAATGTTTATATAAGCTTTATGACCAGCTGACAGTACATTATACTTGACAAAAGATGCTGTAATGCTCAAAATTAGCAATGAAATGACAGAAAGAAGTGACAAATTTGTAGTGCACCATATTTTCTACCCAGATATAAATGCAGAGTACAGAATCTGAGTTTTGTCTTGTGGAATGACACAACTGTCCATCACTATCAAACACAGCTTTCCTTGTTTTCTGTTTTGTGAATAAAAAGATGCATCTCGTCTTATGTGCTCCCTTCAAGATCCAGTAAATTATAGCTGTGTAATGTGTCGGTGAAATATTTGGAGAGCTGCCTGCCAGTATGCATGATGTTTCTGGTTGTGCTCTCTGTTAAAATCATTTATTTTTGTCTTTCTCTCTTTTTCAGAGTCTGACGGTAGATCTGCTGTGTGTTTGTGTGGTGTGACTGTGTGTTGATGGAGGAGAAACTGTTGGCTTGAAACAGTTGTGAGGTTTAAGTTCTCTGGTCGCAGGATCGTGTGCGTGCGTGCATGTGTTTTTTTGTTTTTTTTTTATGTGTGTGTGTGTCTCAATTATCTGATCCCATTGTGACTGGGAGGTGCTCAGGGGTGGAGCTCCAGTGAGGGGCACGAATCTACAGGCTGCAGCCTCTCAAACATGAGCAAACTGACTTTCCACAATAACAAGACGATGCAGGACCGCCGGTGTGTGTGTGTGTTCCTCCCGAATGATGAAACACTCAACGTAATAGTCAGTGTAAGTACAACTCCATGCACTCAATGACACACACACCATTGGTGATTGCACGTAAGGCACAGCTTCTCCCATGATTTCATAAAAAAGTAGCAATTATCTTTATCTATTTTAATCATATACAAAGATTGTTTTTGATAGACAACATGCTCTAAACATGTCATTTAGGGTCCCGCTCCGATGTTGCATCCCGCAAAGAGCATCCTGAGTTCTTCCTGATCACTACTAAATATTGTAAAAATACAGATCTATTTTGTGTTGAGTAATTTCATGTTTTAATAGAGTTTGAGAAGCTGCTTTTTTGAGTACTATTACAGACATCAAAATAATATAAACAAAATTCCATTGAAAAGTTAAACCTGTTCCGCGACTGAAAAACACACACTATATCCTTTCTTTCTCTGTAATACAGGTGATCTCTCATACTTTCTCTGTTCTTCTCTCTCAGGTTAAGACTGTGTGTCAGGAGTTGTTGGTGCAGGTCTGTGATCTGCTTAGATTGAAGGACTGTCATCTGTTTGGCCTCAGTGTTATTCAGAGTAAGGCACACACACACATTTATGATTTATAAGCTGTTTTCTTCCTCATGGGAACCAAAAAATGTCCCCACAAGGTCAAAGATTTCAGATATTGCCATTCTTGGGGTTTCAGGTCTGTTGTATCACTCTGTGTTGCATCTTTATTCTCATTTCAACTCAAATAATAATGTTTTTTGTCCATTTATTAATTATTAAATTTGTGGGTTAATATATGGTCTGCCAATTTTATTATTGCATTTTTTACTTTGGATTGGGGTCTTGATCACCCTGTCAGGGTTTATTTTGCTGTAATTAATTACTGGATGCTGTTTGCAATTTCCCCACATTATCCATTACATATATACAAAAACATTAAAGACCTAAATGCATGTGTATTTTAAGTGTGCTTTTTCTCCTAGATAATGAACATATATATATGGAACTGGGACAGAAACTGTCAAAATATTGTCCAAAAGAGTGGAAACGGGAAGCCAGCAAGGTATCATGCAAACAGAGTTTGATTTTCTTGGGGGAAATTTTTGTTGTTGTTGCACACTTTGACAGAATTCTTACCAACTGCAGGGAATTGACCAGTTTGGACCTCCAATGATTGTTCACTTCAGAGCACAGTATTATGTTGAAAATGGAAGACTTATCAGGTGAGACATCTACACATCTACACTACCGTTCAAATGTTTGGGGTCAGTAAGATTCTTTTAGTACTCTTATTCAGCAAGCATGCATTGCATTGATCAAAAGTGACAGCAAATACGTTGCTACACAAATTACATTTCAAATATATTCTTTTAAACTTTCTATTCATCAAAGAATTCTGGGGAAAAGTATTAAGGTTTCCACAAAAATATGACAACATTGATAATAATAAGAAATGTTTTTTAAGCACCAAATCAGCATTTTAGAATGGGGGATCATGTGAAACTGAAGACTGGGATAATGATGCTGAAAATTCAGCTTTACCATCACAGTAATAAATGACATTTTATAATATATTACAATTTAAGTAAAAATTTTTATTGTAATAATGCTTCACAATATTAAGTTTTTACTGTATTTTTGATCAAATAAATGCAGCCTTGGTGAACATAAGAGACATCTTTCAAAAGCATAAATCGTACTGACCCCAACCTTTTAAACGGTAGTGTATACATTCAAAATGTCTTTAGAAAAATGACTGAATATGTTCTATCTGTTTTAGCGATCGCATGGCACGGTATTATTACTATTGGCAATTGCGGAAGCAGGTACTGCAGTCTCAGTGCATCCAGAGAGAAGAGGCTTATTTCCTTCTGGCTGCATTTGCGCTGCAGGCTGACCTGGGAAACTTCAAACGGAACAAACACTTTGGTGCCTATTTTCAGCCGGAAGCTTATTTCCCCTCCTGGGTAAGTCTGCACAGCACCCCATTAAACTACTTCCTGATGAATCATTATGCTGATCAAGCTTGTTAAACGTGTGTTCGCTCCGACCGCCCTCTGTGTGTGGTTTATGGGCTGCACTGTGTTGTCCCTAAATAGTTCAGCAACATTGAATAGAGCTTTTTGTAAAAAAACAAAACAAAAAAACATCATTTTATTTATCAGTGCATGTAGGGGATTGATGTTAAAAATAGTTGAAAGCTTTTAGAGAGAATCTTGGGTGCATTAGCTTCAGGCTTGCTGAGCTGTGCTATCATCTGGACACACATGGTGTGAGGCGCTCCTTCACTGCAGGATGGTGCAGTCGGAGATAGGCTGTGCTGTAGAACTGGCAGATCACAGGATTTTTCTGTTTTCATTCGTGTTCAGGGACATCACTGTAGCCAAGGCTGACAACTAGGATTATATCTGCTTGTATTTGTATAAATTCAAATATATTTAATATATGTATATATACAATATATTGAATTTTTTTACATTATTAAATTATAAATCTTTTTTGATCGTTTTGATCTCTAGTAGGCTATTCCATCGACATTTGCATTTAGGCTACTGTAAGATTAGAAATGTATTTTCTTGGCCCTGAAATGCATTTTGAAATATATTTTGGTATATGAAGGTTGAAACGAAATATATTTACGTTGAGCTGCACTGTTACAACACATATTTAGCATATATTTAAAATATATTTTGGTTAGAAAAAATAAATTCCTTATGGGATGCTATGCTATAGGTAAGGCTAACTTTCTTTGTTAAACTGCTAAACAAAAATCTTAAACAAAAAAACAATTAGGCATCTAGGTTTCTTGGTGCAAGTCAGGACATGTCTAGTGGACCATTTAAATGTCTTTAATATTATGTGATTTATGTCAGAGTCAGACTATCATTTAGTTTGATTAAAAAAATCATTTTGTTGTGTTCCTAACAAAGTTACTGAATCACTGGCAAGTAAGTATTTTTTTTAAATGATTGTATTTTAATATTATAAAATCTTATAAAGTCATGGAAAACTAATAGAAATTCTTTTGTTAATATACTTTTTTTATTTTTATTTTGATCAGATCAAAAATATTATACTGTATTAAATGTCTAAGTGAGTGCAATCTCTATAAAAATGATTAAAAAAAATCTAAATGCAGTTATCAACCATACCGGAAAGTCACGTACCGGTAAATTTATCAGTCAAAAGGTGCGCTTTATTATTATTTTGGTTCTCTCTTTTCTAGGTAATTTCTAAGAGAGGATGTGACTATATTCTCCGTCATATTCCAAACATGCACAAAGAACAGTTTGCCCTTACAGCATCAGAGGCCCAGCTGAAGTACATAAAGGAAGCAGCGCTCTTGGACGACGTGACTGTTCATTATTATCGCCTTTACAAGGTCAGAGAAGAATTATTGACAGTTTGTGTAAGTGCACATGCAGTGTGATTTTGACCATAATGAAAAATGTTCTTTCTGTCAGGATAAGAAAGAGTTAGAGGCCTCTTTATCTCTGGGACTGACCTTACGTGGGATTCAGATCTTCCAGGTATGCTGTTTGAACACTTACTCTGTTACAAATACTTCTCTTTTCGAATATATATATTGTGCATTTCTATGTTGTGATGGTTCAATTTGATTTTTTTAAGAATGTGGGAACTGTCAGGCAACTCTTATATGATTTTCCCTGGACCAATGTGGGAAAACTGGTGTTTGTGGTCAGTATTACAGTACTTTATTAGTATGATTTAAAGGTGAAGTGTACATTTCAGGTGAATCAACCTTTGACCCGTTTCCTTTCCACAGGGGAAGAGGTTTGAGATTCTTCCCGATGGTTTGCCTTCAGCCAGGAAGCTCATCTACTACACAGGCTGTCCTCTGCGTTCACGACACCTCCTGCAGCTGCTCAGCAACAGCCACAGATTGTATATGAACCTACAGCCTGTGCTGAAACAAGTTCGACGACTAGAGGAAAATGAAGGTATCTTGCAAATATGCATAATACAGTAACAGGAACATTTCCTAAAGCCTAGTTCACACTACATGATTTTAAAACGTCGGGCTGAACTGTGCGGTTCACACTACATGACTTGCTCTCTGTGAAATCAGGAGTGTTCAAGTTGTTGAGCTAGTTCACACCACACGACACAACGTGATTGATCCGCAACAGGAGGTAACGCACTACACGAGTTGACAACAACTCTGTCACCCAACGATTCTATCTTGTCTACAAACCACGTTTTGTCACGAAAAATCACGCGATAAAACGAACCGGAAATGACGCGAAACAGCACGCGCGCCAATACCCAGCGAAGAAGACGAAGAAGAACACAACACGCGAACATGCCTTGCTCTGATTGGCTGTAGCTCATGACATCACGTGAGCTTGAGTCGTGCGACAGCTCTGGATATCTAGCATGCTAGATATTTTTCTGGGCTCGGCGACGCGTCTGCGAGGCGTCTGCGAGCGTCTTTGATGCGTTGTTGGCTCTTTCATACTAACAGATTGGTGAGCGTTCATCGCCCGCTAATCCCCCGCGATTTTCACGCGATAACACCATGACCTGTCGGCGAGCTCAACGATTTGCAAATCGGGCTTAAAATCATGTAGTGTGAACTAGGCTTAAGTTAATAATTGAAATGACATGAAATCTGTTATATACAGACAGATAAGGCAACCATAATCTATTGGCATATACTGTACATATAAAATAAAATATAATTTATCTAGTTAAAAACCTTAAAGTAAACGAAAATTAGAAATGTTGCATTGGCAATAAATGAAATAAGCTTAAGTTGAAGAACTAAAATTATTAACTGGAAATAAATACAATTTAAAAGCTAAAACTGAAATAAAATATTCATATATGTATAAAAAAAAATTACGCACATAACGAAATAGCTAAAAATGAAAAAAAAATTATCATGAAAACCAAAAATATAACAATAAATGCTTAATACAATATTAATATTAAATATTAATATTAAAATATTAATACAATTAAATAACACTGCAATTAACTGAGTTTACACACGTGACGCAAGATAATGAATATTAACAAAGTCATTCTCAGCAGCATGAATTTTTTTGTCATGAAATTATTCTTGTTTTGTTTTGCAAAGGACCTGGAGTATATGGTTGACATTATTAACCTGTGTTCTCAGAAAAGAAGCAGTACAGGGAGTCTTATATCAGTGATGCTCTGGAGGCGGACATGGATCATTTGGAGCAGCGTTCACGTGCCAGTGGCAGCAGTGCTGGCAGCACGTCACGACCCAATCCCTTCTCACGACACTCCACCACAAGTCATGGCAGCTCCCGCACATCCGGCGTCGACACCGACAGTTTCCGAACCCCTACAAACACACCCCACCGACCGCTGAGAACACACTCGTCTTCCAACACCAGTCATGCCAGCACACACACGTCTGGCATCGAGAGCAGCAGCAAGGAGCACTGCCTGGATGAAGACGGTAGGAGACGCAGTTAAATGTGACACTTTCCTCCTAGCCAGTTAATTGCAACTCAAAGACTCATTACATTAGTAATAACGGTATCAATAATAAATGCTGTATGATTAAATGGCTGCATTGATCAAATCTTTGTTTGTGTTTTTTCTTAAGAGATTGAGATGCTGGTTGATGATCCAAAAACTTGTGAAGATCTTCATGATTTAGAACTCAGCCAGGAACTGTGTATCCACATTACAGAGGACATGCTGTCAGCACAGAACAACGGATGCTCCGGTATGCACACAGGTTATCTTATGTTAATAGTTTAGGCTTGATGCATTAACTTGAAAAAGTGACCGTTAAGAATCTGACATTGTTACAAAACTATTGTTTTAAATAAACACTGTTCTTTTGAACTTTCAATTAATCAAAAGAATAATCCATTTCCACAAACAGATTAAGCAGCTCAACTGTTTTTAACACTGGTGCTCAAGAAAAATTCCTTCTTATTATCAAATCAGCATATTAGAATGATTTCTGAAGGATCATGGGACACTGAAGACTGATGCTGAAAATTCAGCTTTGATATCATGGGAATAAATTACATTTTACAACATTACAATAGAAAAGTTATTTTAAATTCAATTTAAATCACTTTATTACTGGTAAAATTGTAATTTTTATCAAATGTGCATATACAGTATATAAAGTAGTCAACATTTGAAGTGGATCAAAAAAGTTCATCAAAGTTGTCCTAAGACAAGAACGGGTGTTGTTCAAAATTCATGTATCAAGGTGTGTGTGTATATATATATATATATATAGGGTACAACAGGGGTAAAGGCACACCTTAAGAAAAAAACATTTCCAAAGTCTAATGAAAAAAAAAAAAAAAAAGTTTGTATTGAACATTGATGGAGCAATAGATTTTGTGTGAAAATAAATCATAAAAGTGGTTCATTTTGTTTAAAAATCGTATAAATATATGAGGTGGCAAGGTGGGCCTTTTACTCCACACACGTGGCAAAAGGCTCACCAGTACGGGGCAAAAGGCACACGGTATTTATACAAATACTTTAGCTAAAATATGTTTTTAATAATGTCTAAATTAATACTTGTTCAAAACAATCACTTTAGCCAAGTTAAGCCAGTCTTCTGTTTATTTTGATGAATAAAAAAAATGCTTTTTTTTTTGTTCAATAAATATACTGTCATTAAAATGTTAATATAACAATATATTTTAAAAATACAAAAACTAAATTATTTTAAAAAAGTAAAGATTCTGAAAGCACTTAAGTAGATCCCTTAATAATTTAATATAGATTTACAGTAGTAACAATAAATTATATTTTATCATATGATATGATTAATATAAAAATTTTTTTTTTAAATATGATTTTCATTATAAACATGGGTATTATCTCTAAGGTGGACACCCAACCTAATATATGATATTGACCATCTGAATCTAACCATGTCATGTCAACAAATGGAAAAGTCAGCCAGATATTTATTATCATGTTAATTATTGTGCCTTTCGCCCTGACAGCAGATGCAAATACCACACTTTTACATATTCTTCCGTTATTGTTTAATTACCTGGAACAAAACTGAAAACCATTAAGTCGACCTTTGTCTCAAAATATTAATTTTATCGATTCTCATTTGCTACTTAAATCTACAACATTTTAAAAAACATCAAATATTAGATCAAATTAGCACTGAATCAACTTTGCGCTGCTGCCCGCGATTGTGTCAAAGATCAGACAAATTTCCACATGCATCTTGAAAAGCGAATGTTTTGGAAAGTGCTGCGGTATGTTTTTGTGCCATGCCATCTAGTGGTTTAGAGTAAAATAAAATAAAAGGCGCCTTTTCCCCCACGGTGCCTTTCGCCCTGTTGTACCCTATATATACGCACAAACACACACCATGATCGCAATGCAAAACAATGTGATTGTCCTAAAAGCATTTTTGGTGGGTGAAACGTGACCTGGATGCGTTTTTGTGAGATTTACCCACAGTGCCAAGAATAGAATACAGAACACTCCTTTTAATTAGTGGGTTCAGGTGTAACGACCACACCTGTTGCTGACAGGTGTGTAAATACAAGCCGTGTCATCTCTGGAGGCATTAGCTGTAGATTGAGTTGATCTGTGACCTTTCAGTGCCAAGTCAGTTTGTCAGTCAAATTCTCGCTGTCCTGGAACTTCCCAGGGTGAATGAAGGGCATGGCGGTATGAAGGACACTTTTAAATGATGATTTCCAGACCTGGAAAGGTCTTTGGACATTGATAAATTCCCAAAAGCCAATGGCAATTTTTCTCACACTGGTCAAAAAGTGTGAGAATCCAAATTCAAGCAGTGTTTACTTAATTGAGAAAGGCTTGAAGGCAGTTTTATCAACTACTAATTGTGTTACTGTGCACCCTAGTCTGACTAGTACAGTAACCTTCAAATGACGGAATGAGAGAGAATGATTACGTTAATGTATGTGTATGTTGTATATGTGTTTGTGCTTTTCAGGGTTAGTGGTGAAGGAAGTCGGATCTTCCACATCCAGCTCATCAGAGACCATAGTGAGAATGAGAGGCCAGAGCATCGAATGTCTCCCTCAGGTGCAACTATATACACACACACAAACACTCAATGCGTAACAGCTGTTGAACGACACTGTGTCAAGTTCCTTAACCACTGAAGTTAAACCGAGGACGTCAACTCTGCATTTTGAGCTGTATCATTCTTCTGTTGAGTAATTCTGTAATCTCTTTTAACAGTGCTGGTAACCCCACTTCCTCTTAACAGTATTTGTTTAGGGCAGCCTTACCCTACACCCAACAGCATTGTCGTTTCTCATCTGTGAATTCATGTGAGTGTACAGCTAACCGCTCTCTGAGATTTTAGGGTTAGTTGAGAGTTAGTGTAGTCTGTGATTTCTGTGTTTTAATGCGGCTTGTTGGTTTCCTACGTGCTGACGTGGGTTTTGTTGTCTTTGTTTAATTAGACGGCGATGGGCAGGAAGGGCCAGAGCTCCACAGACCGCCACAGCCAATCACTTGACGACGTTCGTCTGTTCCAGAGGAACTGTCAGGAGTGGGCGGAGCTTTGCCAGGACACCGCACATAGCTATACGTTCGGCTGCGAGCCAGACCTCGGGGACCCGGTCGGCTGTGGGTACCAGGGACTTGCAGATCAGTGCGCCGGGATCCGGATTAACCAGCACACGTTTCCCATCAAGAGAACCAGCAAGTATTTCTCTCTGGATCTGGACAGAGAAGATCTGACCACAGACCACATGACCACTGAAGCAGAACCAGAGTTCGTGGTGTAACGCAGAGAGCATTGAAAAGAGCCCCAGAACAAATGAGGAATTACAGGATGTTATTATTGAAGGGATAGTAAACGGAAAAACAGAAATTATGTGATTTAGTTAGTTACTCTCACTTTGTTACAAAGTTGGCGTACTTTTCTCTGTGGAACACAAAAGGAGAAATTCAGATGACTCTGTTGGTTGCATTTTTCCAGGCTGTTACAATGAAAAAGAATGGAAAAGCATTATAAAAGTAGTCTTGTGTGCTATAGACCTTATTCCGGGTAGCGCTATTTCTTTCATTTTTGAAAGAAATGAAAACTAGGCTGTAAAAGATCAAATTAATTGTACTCTTGTTTAACACCATTCAAAACACTACACATTATAAGTCCATAAAATAGTATTGAAAGTTGTGAGTTTGATCTAGGTGTGCTCTAGGACAACGCAATCTTTTACAGCCTTTTACATCTGTGTTAAATGTAAAAATGATAGTTATGTCATCATTTACTCACCCTCATGTCATTCCAAACCTGTATGGTTTTCTTTCTTCTGAGAAAACATTCTTCAAAATATCTTCAAAGAAAGCAATTTATAAATGAGGGTGAGTAAATGATAACAGAATTAAATTTTTTAGATGAACTGTCCTATTATATTCAATACGGTGTTTACCCTAACTAGGGTCTATATTTCAAATCTTCTAAAGCCATACGATAGCTTTTATGGATTGATGGTTGTGTCATATTTGTAGGAGTTTGACAGCCCTGTCTACCATTTAATTTCGTTATATGGAAAAAAGAGCTGCGTAAACAATCTGTTGAATGTCTCTTTTGTGTTCCACATAAGAAAAAAAGCCATACAGGTTTAGAACAACATTATGGTGAGTAAATGATGACAGAATTTTTCATTTTTGGGTGAACTATCCATTTAAGGTCATTTAGTACGTGTTTGCGTGTGTATCCAAAACAAGCAAGAGAATCTGCACCATCCTAATGCCAAAATACTAAAATCTAGAAAAAGCTGCCTTACCAAAGTATCCAAAAATGTGTTTATGTATGTATGTGTGTGCTGCCCTAAATAAACCCTCAGTGCCTTGAATCCACTATGCAGGTTCTCAGAACATAAAACTAAAGTTTCTGCACTCCTGTTTACTTCCACCCTCATCTCTAAGGAAACACCCCGGTCTTGTCTCCCAGAATAACACTAAACCTAATGAACTTTTGGGGATTGTGGCCACCGAATCATGTGAGCATCATAATCAGAGGGCCCAGTGCCGGGGTGTGCCGCCCCGCAGGATAGATGACTGATGGGATTTCAAGCCGCCGCGGCTCTTGATTTAGAGACGTTTGCACACAGCTGATACTGATGCTGATCGGGTCAAGTCTTCCATAGACCTTCCTTTAGAGGTTCCCATTTTCTTTATCTGTCTGTTGACTGTTTATTTGTCTAACTGGAAGTTTGTCTTTATTATATAGTTTTCTAAAGAATGACTGCTGTGTGTTTTAATGATGTGTTGCCTGTCAGTATTAAGCTGTTAACGGGAGACAGTATTAGAAACTTTATTTCCATCTAAACAAGAAAGAGTGTGTGTGTGTGTGTGTGAACGGTAGGGGAGGTAGACACTAAACATGAAGAATTTGCATAGATCAGTGCAGTTAGACATGGAAACCCACTTCTAGTTAAAAGCTCCTCTTTGCATGGGTGTTATGAAAGGCTTTGAATGAACAGCACTTAAAAGCTCATGTGCATGTGGGTCTTCTTGTCATGACTTTGTGCGTTCTGCTGAACACTAGTACAGTACATATAGATGCCCCGAGCCGTCTTCACATTCATCTCTCCATCCCCTTTGAAAAGCAGCAGTGAATCTGAAATGGCCAAACTGTCTAATAATTTTGGTTGCTGTTGGATTTCATGGTGACTGAACACTTGCATCGGTTCTGCTTGCAGATAACAGCCGATCACTGGACTCCATGTATTGTTTACCCTTTATGTTTGCAGCTAGACTTTGTCCTTTCTGTGAAAGGAATTTCCTATGTGAAAATGAAATTGTTTTCCCCAGTTCCTTTGCAGACCCATTCGACTCTGTTCTCTCATGAAAGTGTATTCTGTGCCTTGCAGGTGCCAAAGTCCTCAAATGTTTGCAATAAAAGGTACCTTCATTTGTAATTAAATCTGTCCTGTTGTTTTGTGTGCAGCATTTTGATGAAATGTACTTTATAAGTGCTCCATAACATCTCATGATTCGTTCCTTGTCTGATGATGGTTATGAATTACACCGTAAACTATTGGTTACATCTGATACAATAGTTTAAAGTTTCCCATAATCCTCTTTAATTACCCTGATAAACAGTTCTTACAATTACCAATTATTAGTTATTCATTTGCATAATTCATTTGTTTTTGTTCAAAATACAAAAAAAACAAAAAAGATTTTGGGATGTTCAGGTCACATTGCACCCCAAAATCAGAAGAAAGGACAGATAATTTTCATTATCAATTACATTTTATGTTGTCCAGTTGTATTTTATCTCTCCAACTGAGTAGGCTCCCATGATGTCCAGGTCATGCCCCTCAGATCTGTGATGTCTCTTTGGAGCCATCATATCTCTCTGGGTGTAAACTATGATAGAGAAACAGAAAACGCCACAAGCCTTCACTCTGCCAAGGTTGTGAAATGGCTCATCAAGGCCCCTCTGTTCTGGAGAAACAAAACACTTGGGAGATTATCGTCTTTCAGGAATTTGAGGCAGAGAAACAGTATATTTCTCATATGTAGGCCTACAAGTTAAGGATGACAGATTGCAAAAATCTTACTTATTAAGAAATAAGAATATACTAAATATAATATGGAATCCAATTCTTAAATTTCTTTTACATGTCATACAGCAGAGGGCGACATGCATCATAAAGTAATTGACATGTGTGCTTGACGTTTTCTCATTCAAAAGAAATTGTTATTGTGAAATAACCAATTGATTAATTTATCAAATTAGTTTTTTAGTAAAATATCCAAAACTAAATGACTGTCTTTTGTGTTGTATTTCCCTGTAGGACTAACTGGTTGTGTCAGAATTTCCTTGTTTTTAATTAAAGGGATAGTTCACTTTGAAATTAATTTTTGGTATGTTTTAGCTTACCTCAAGGGCATCCAAGATGTAGGTGTCTTTGTTTCCGCAGTAGTTTCAATTTTTATATTTTTAGGTCAAACTGTTCTTGTCTGTCAGTCATATAATGCAGGTCTATGGTCACTTCCTCAAAGAGCATGCACAGAGAAGGCCAAATTAAACATGATTTAATGACTCGTAAATGTAAGTACACATTGATGGCCTAAGACACGAAACGAGCAGTTTGTGTGCGAAAACGAACAGTATTTATATCGTTTTTACCTCTTGTAAACACAGCCACGTCCAAGTGATCTGACGGCGCGGGCGCTTCGGTCTTTTCCTGCAAGCGCCGGAAAGCGCCGGAAGTGATCTCTCGCGCGTGTAAACAATGAGTGACGTACACGCGCGAGAGATCACTTCCGGCGCTTTCCGGCGCTTGCTGGAAAAGACCCGAAGCGCCCGCGCCCTCAGTGTTTACAAGAGGTAAAAACGATATAAATACTGTTCGTTTTCTCACACAAACTGCTCGTTTCGTGTCTTAGGCCATCAATGTGTACTTACATTTACGAGTCATTAAATCATGTTTAATTTGGACTTCTCTGTGCAAGCTCTTTGAGGAGGTCATAGACCTGCATTATATGACTGACAGACAAGAACGGTTTGACCTAAAAATATCAAAATTGAAACTACTGCGGAAACAAAGACACCTACATCTTGGATGCCCTTGAGGTAAGCTAAAACATACCAACAATTTATTTCAAAGTGAATTATCCCTTTAAATGGTAGCCTAGTAATGGCAGAACATGAGCCTATCTTTGGCGTTGGATAGGCCTATATGTCTATGGATATGTCTTTTATTTTGGAAGAGTTGATGGTATACCCTGCTGGAACATATGTTGTCGGTCTTTGTATAGGCCTACTATATGTTTGTTACGTTAGCACAAGTTAATGTTTCTCTAGAACAGAAATATAATGCATACTTATTTACATGCTGGTTTTGTGTTTGTTTTCGAGTTCACGCGAGACAGAAAGCGAACTCGCTGTCGCCATAGAACCGGAACCTACAATTCTGTGGTAGCTAAGACACCGGCGGCGGCTAGTAACTGACATTATTCTTTCTTTATAATATTTATAGTATGAAGGAATGCTTCTTCTTGAGCGCCAATGTCAACATTTGTCCTGCTTAGTATTTTTGATGATAGCTTTTTGATGAATAGAAAGTTCAAAAGAACAGTTTTAATTTGAAATATAAATAATTTGTAACATTATAGCCTACATACATAAGTAGTTAAAGCCAGTTTAACCCCAAACTGTGGTTTAGAACCTGGTAGTTGGTTAGCTTGTCACTTTAAACGAGAAAGTGAAACATGGTGCTGGTTAAAAATGTAGAAAAAAAAAAGATGAAAAGTCTAGCATTTTAATATCCTCTATTTGTTTTGGGAGTGTAAATAGATATAAGATAATGAATTTCTTATTTTTGCAGATTCTGGGGCTTAAAGTCTATTTTCTTGTGCCTTATTAAATCTGAATAATAACAACGCATGTAATTAAGTATGAACATGAAATAATCTCATTTAACAAACATTTCACTCTCATATTTTCTCATTTGTTTCAAGTATTGAGTTTTTGAAACTGAAAGTTTAAGTCACCTTTTCCAAAGTTCATTTAAAGTTTCCAAATAATTTCTTTGCAAAAATATTGAATATTATAATTTCCATGGCAGTGTCAAAATATGACAGTCTTATATTTGATCAACAAAGGGCACAGCGTGTGTGCTTTATCTGCACATGTTTTTTCTTTATTTTCTGTGAATCTGTTTGTGGCTTCCCGTTTAAGTAGTTGCTGCTATCGCCTTGAATTTTCAGGAAAAACTCAGTCGTGATGTTCAGTGCTCGTTCACGTAGGTGGTTTAGCAGTGCATTAATGGTCCAACAGGTGGCGGTGGTGTTCTGTTACAGGATTAACACACACACACACACACACACACACTAACAGAAAATTTAACCGAGGATTGCTTTTAGTAAAAAAAAAACGAATCGAATCATTCTATGGACGTTTTTGTTCAGTTTTGCGTGTAGTTTAAGTTTCCAGCCATAATAATAATGAACTTAAACAAATGCTTTTATATTTGGCAAGACAAAAGTCTTGTCAAAAGACAAAAGTATGTTTG